TGGGTCCATTGTAAAGGATCTATGGACCTTGACATGAAGAAGAATAGGAAAGCTAATCTGTGCTGACCTGAATATTTTCTTTCTTTGTATGATTAAGTCCACAAGCCAGTCACCCATGGAAACTATTCATCCAGAACAGAGATGGAAATTGGCATCTGTCAGTTTTGGTTTCTTATTATATGGAATTTAAAGTGCTCTGCAACAGGAGAAATTGTTTTTCATCTAAATTTATTTAGCACAATGTATAATTTTAAAAATGTACATCTGAATTATACTAGCTAGGGAACTAATGGCAGTTGGTGGGACATTTCCATTCCACCAGTGAAAGCCAGGTCAGGTTCTGTCTTCAAGCCTATGGAAACTGAAATACCCATTGAAACAGATCTGCAGGCTTGATGGTTTAAAATAAGAACTATTCAATCAAGCACTCAGACATTTTCCTATTCTGTATTTCAACAATGAAATTTCCAAGCCTGATTAGCAGAGTAACTTTTTTGTAGTGTAAACTTTGTTTACTATGTTTTTTTTTTAAGTTGGAAAGTTTAAGTGGCCAGCATTGAAAGACTGGTAATGTTTTGATTTGTACAATACTACTTAGTAGTAGTAATCAGTACAAGTGATATTTGTTATGGATTTAGAATACTAATAGCTTTCATCAGAGAAGGAGCTCGGTTACCAGAGAGGCAGTGTCAGGTTTCTGAGGTCAGTGTGAAGGCAACAGCTAATCTGTTCATAGTTGTGTGAGTTTTGAACCTGAGATCAAGAGATTGGAAGATGGGAAGAAGGTAAAACTGCTGAAAGTGTCTCTGTAGTGTTCTCCTCATCCAGAGAAATATCACAGGAAACAGCATCAGTTATTCTGGAGATTTCTTTTCCTGCCATCAATTTACTGGACCAACAAAGCAGAAGAAGCCAAAAGAAGATGAACATCGGTGACCACAGAGTATGTAAAATCTGTTCATGGGTTCATGATAGCAGAATACATGTAAAGGGCAGAACGGTTTCCATTCCTAGATCCTTCCGCAAGGAAGCATTGAGGCAACTTGGGTGTGCAGGGATGAAGTTGTGAAGGCCAAAGCGCAATTGGAGTTTTAGCTAGCAAGGAACTTGAAGTATGTTAACAACAAGAGGAAGGTTGTGGAAAGTGTGGGTCCCTTACTGAATGCGGGGGGCAACATAGTGATAGATGATGAGGAAAAGGCTGAAGTACTCAATGCCTTTTTTGACTTCCATCTTCACAGGCAGGATCAGCTCCCACACTACTGCACCAGGCCGCAAAGTTTGAGAAGGAGGTTAGCAGTCCTCAGTGGTGAAAGAACAGGTTGGGGACTATTTAGAAAAGCTGGACATGTACATATCCATGGGGCTGGATGGGATGCATCCAAGGGTTCTGAAGGAGTTAGCTGATGAGACTACAGAGCCACTGGCCATTATCTTTGAAAACTCATGGTGACTGGTGGAGGTCCCAGACAATTTGAAAAGGGCAAATATAGTGCCCATCTTTAAGAAAGGGAAGAAGAAGAATCCAGGGAACTACAGACTGGCCAGCCTCACCTTAATCTCAGGAAAACTCATGGAGCCAGGTCCTCAAAGAATCCACTTCTAAGCACTTGGAGGAGAAGAAGGTGATTAAGAACAGTCAGCATGGATTCACCAAGGGCAAGTCATGACTAAACTGTCTGGATTCTGTGATGAGACAACTGGCTCTGTAGATGTGGGGAAAGCAGTGAACATGATATACTTTGACTTAGCAAGACTTCTGATACCTTCTCCTACAGCATTCTTGCAAGCAAGCTGAGGAAGAATGGGTTAGAATGGTGTAAGGTGGATAGAAAGCTGGCTGGATTGTCGGGCTCAACGGGTAGTAATCAATGGCTCAGTGTCTAGGTGGTAGCTGGTATCAAGTGGAGTACCCCAGGAGTTGGTCCTGAGGCCAGTTTTGTTCAAAATCTTCATTAACAGTCTGGAATATGGGATGGAGTGCACCCAAAGCAAGTTTGTAGATGACATCAAGCTGGGATGATACAGTGGAGGGTAGGGCTTGGATTCAGAGTGGCCTAGACAGATTGGAGGATTAGGCTAAAAGAAATCTTATGAGGTTCAACAAGGACAAGAGCAAGGTCCTGCATTTTGGATGAAACAGTCGCATGTACTGCTACAGCCTGGGGACTGACTGGCTAAGCAGCAGTTCTGCCAAAAAGGACCTGGGGGTTACATGGAAAATACGCTGGATATGAATCAATAGTTTGCCCTTGTTGCCAAGCAGGCTAACAGCATATTGTGCTGCATTAGCAGGAGTGTTGCCAGCAGGTCAAGGGAAGTAATTATTCAACTCTATTCTGCACCGGTGTTGCCACATCTGGAGTAGTGTGTTCAGCTTTGTGTCCCTCACTATAGAAAAGATGTGGACAAGTTGGAGAGAGTCCAGTGGGGAGTGGCGAAAATTGTTCCAGGGACTGGGGCATGTGATTTTGAGGAGAGGCTGGGGGAACTGGGTTTAGTTAGTCTGCAGAAGAGAAGACTGGAGGGAGGGAGTGGCAATTTGATAGCAGCCTTTTATTACCTGACAAGTGGTTCCAAATAGGATGGAGCTGGACTGTTCTCAGTGGTGATAGATGACAGAACAAGGAGCAATAGTCTCCAAGTTGCAGTAAGGCAGGTTTAGGTTGGATATTAAGAAAAACTTTCTCATTGGGAGGGTGGTGAAGCACTGGAACAAGTCATCTAGAGAAGTGGTGCAATCTCCATCCTTGGAGGTTTTTAACGACTGGCTTGACAAAACCTGGCTGGAATGATCTAGTTGGGATGGTCTTACTTTGAGCAGGGGGTTGCACTAGATTCATAGATTATTAGATTGTAAGGCTGGAAGGGACCTTCGAAGATCATCAGGTCCAGCCCCCTGCACCAAGCAGGGAAGATAACTGGGGGTCAGGTGATCCCAGCAAAGTGACTGTCTAGTCTCCTCTTGAAGGCTTCCAGGGTAGGTGACTGTACCGCCTCTGGGGGGAGCTTATTACACAGTCTGAACACCCTGACTGTGAAGAAATTTTTCCTAATGTTGAGCCAGAATTGGTCTTTCAGGGGTTTGTGGCTATTACTCCTAGTTTTCCCCTTGTGTGCCCTGGTGAACAGTTGCTCACCGAGCCCTTGATTTACTCCCCTGGTGTAGGGGTAAGCTGCTACCAGGTCCCTTCTCAGCCTGTTTTTCTTCAGGCTGAAGAGTCCCAAATCCCTCAGCCTTTCCTTGTAAGACTCTGATCATACAGGTGGCTCTTCTTTGGATTCTTTCAAACTTATCCGTGTCCTTGTTAAAGTGTGGTGCCCAGAACTGGGCACAGTACTCCAGCTGTGGTCTCACCACTGCTAAGTACAGTGGAAGAATCACCTCCTTGATTTTGCTGGAGATGCATCGATTGATGCATGCCAGAGTATTATTTGGCCTACTGACTACAGCATTGCACTGCCAGCTCATATTCATACTGCTGTCTATTATTACCCCCAGGTCCCTTTAATTTGTGGTGTTAGTCAGTTTGGTGCTGCCAAGCCTGTAGGTGTGTTGGGTTGCTTGTCCTGAGGTGGAGCACTTTACATTTCTCAATGGTGAACTTCATCTGATTCTGATCCACCCAACTTGCTAGCCTGTCTAGGTCCACCTGTATCGATAGCTTGTCTTCAAGAGTGACCACACTTTGCCATAACTTGGTGTCAGCTACAGACTTGGCCAGTGAGCTCTTCACCCCCACATCCAAATAGTTAATAAAGATGTTGAAAAGTACTGGACCAAGCACCAACCCCTGCGGGACACTGCTGCTCACTTCTCTCCAGGATGACAGATCTGTTCACTGTGATTCTCTGGGTCCTATCCTGCAGACAGTTTCTCACTCACCTGACTGTCTCGGAGTTAAGCCCACAATCCTCCAATTTTCCCATGAGGACATCCTGGGATACTAGATCAAAGGTCTTTTGGAAGTCAAGGTATACAATGTCAACCTGCTCTCTTGTGTTCAGGTGGTGAGTTACCTGGTCACAGAAGGAGATGAGGTTGGTAAGGCAAGACCTGCCTGACATCCTGAAGTCCCTTCCAACTCTAATTTTCTGTGATTCTGTGAACTGGTGGTGATCGCACTTCTCATTACTTTCAGTTTACTCCACGTGTAGCATGCTGTAGGAGTTGCAGCTTTTTAGTGGAGGAGGATGTATGTATGGGAGTTCTTTGCATGCCCTGGTTCTCCTTTCATTGTGTCCATGCTCTAGCAAGGGAGGATGAAAGCTTTCAAAACATGTTTTTCCAGAAAGAAAAAAATAAAGGAGACATTTGTAAATTCTCAAATTGACAGAGTTTCTTTTGATACGTACCTTAAAGCTTTCATTTTCTTATTTTCTTACCCATAACATTGAACTAATGAGATAGGCACAGTGAATCTTTTGCTTGCCTGTAGAGCGAATAAAAAACTTTTAAGACAAGTTTTTGTTTTAATGATTTTGAGCTACCATATTGGACATGCACTTTTTTTCAAAAGTGGCTGGGGAGAGATGAGAGAGGCATCTTGATTAAATACTTGCATGATTCTTTGTGACCCTCCTTTCTCTAGGTAGCATATTTGTGTGAATCTGTAGTTCACAATGTTGGCTTACTATCCTTTTGCTACAGTTTGAGTAAACTGTAAAAAAGAAAAAGAACTTGAACATGCATGTCAATAAAAGAAAGTGTGCGCTCATGGACATGCTTCCTGTTTATCAGTTTGTAACTCCGAGAAAAATATATGCCAATACATAACCTCAATGTGAGCCTGTTTAACATTTTTTATTTTCCAGACGTTTATCAAAATTTGGGGAAAATAAAAGTGGTCTAAACTGACCTGTGAGCCACGTGCCTAACCTATTTAATACTTGTACTTCTGACATAATAGGAAGCACCTTGTCTATAAAGTTCAGAACCTACATTAGCTGTCCATCTTTTTGTAGTAATCGCTGTATTGTGTATGAAACATCTTTTCTAGGTGGGAAGTCCTTTGGTCAGAGGCGCCTACCAAGGTGAATGGTCCTCAGGCTCGTCAGTTCACACCTTGCATCAAACAGATCGACTTTCCTACCAACTTAATTCGACTGGAAGTAAATAGCTCCCTTTTGGACTATTACACTGAATTAGATGCAGTAGTGCTACATGGTGTGAAAGAGAGACCTGTGCTTTCACTGAAGACTACAATGATTGATATGAATGATATTGATGAGGATGAGGATGAAGATGAAGATGAAGAAAAAGATGGTGGTGGAATGGAAAGTCTTAATAAACAGTTCAGTGTTGCTGCTCTCAAGGAATGGCCAACAAATGGATATTTTGATAAACTACCTTATGAGGTAAGGTAAAAAATGCTTATACTGAAATAGAATTGTCTCAAGTACCTGGACTGCAGAGATGCTGCACAGTTACTGATGCAAGGCTGTTGTTATTTTCCAGTTATGCAGTACTTGTCCTCTGGTTGTAGGTGTCTGATTTACATAATTATGTTATGGTTATTTCTTAGGAGTCATAATATGTTGATCTGTATGCTTTGGCTGATGGCTGTTAGCTAGCCAATGTGCAGATATTTGCATAAGCACTGTACAGTTATTTCTCAATAACTTACACTATAAGCATGGGTGGATCTAGGATTTTGAAAAGCAGTTGCTAGTGGTATGATTCATCATCCCATAACAATGATATTTTTCTCCAATTAAAAAGAAACTGGAAGTATTACTACTATGCTAGGAGCCTAGGGCTCTGTTATTCTGTTTAAGATTTAGGCAAAAATGAGTATAATTGAGTTGTTTGTGTCTGTTGGTGCAGGGCTGGCAACTCCAGAATGGGGCAGGCACTTGTTGTCAGGGAGTACAGCTGTTAAACCTGCAGCCTGGCCATGGACAGAATTGCTCCGTGCACCCTCATACTTGTCCCCCAGAGACTCCTCTGTCCCCAAGGTGCCCTTCCCTGCTCTATATGCGTTGCCACCTCAAATGCCCCTGGCTTTACTCTGTCCCTGTTATCCCACATAATTCCTCCATACTCAGCCATCCCCATTGTGCCCCAAGCCTCATCAGACTCCCCCATCCCCTTTACACCCCTCTGAGTCCTACCCTGCCCTCTCATTGTCCCATGAACACACTGCATCCTGCAAAGACTCATTCCCCTCATGCCCCAGTGAGCCCCATCCTGCACCTCTAAGCATCCAAACTTCACTGCAGTTCCCAAAATCCCCTGTGTCCCCTTCACCTACAGTCCCTCTTGTTTCCAACCTCTTCAGACAGTTTCAGCCCCACAGCACCCACCATACCTTCAGCTTCAAACCCCATTTGCCCCCACACCCTCATAACATCCCAGCTCTTCCTCACCCCACAGGCTCCCTCCTCTGCAGAAGCCCCTTTTTCCTTTTACTACCTGCCTGAATAATAAACTTGGA